TAAATATTAAAATTATTAAAACTTTTTTTATTAAAATATTATAATTATTTCTTTTATTATATTATTTTTTATTAATTAGTTTTTAATTTTTTTTATTTTTTTTATTTTTATTTAATTATATTAAAATAAATATATAAGTATAATTTCTATAATATACTTAATTAAATACTATTATTTTAAAATAGAATTATTGTAAATATATTTAATATAGAGAATTTAAATATCAAAAAAAGTATAAGAAGCATTATAACTAATATTATAAAAAATTAAAAAATTAAAACATCTAAAATATTAAAATGTAAAAAATTAACAATATATAAAATATAAATATAAAATTAAAAAGTAGTTAATTATTAAATTTTGTTTTAACTCAGTTTAAAATTAAGATGATAATAAAAAAAAAGCTTTTATTCATCTATTTAACTAGATAGATATAATGAAAATACTAAAGTAAAAATTAAAATATAAAATAAATAAGTAATTAAATATAAAAAAATTGAAGATCAGAGTAAATCAATATTTTAAAGTAAATCAATTTTAATTTATTTTATAAACAGCTATACTATAATAAATTTTTTTAAAAAAAATTTTCAAAAATCTTAAAAAGTTTATATATATAAATAGATAATAATAGTTCTTATCTTAAATAATTAATCTAATCTATAAAATCTCAGATAATCTAGTTTTTAAAAAGTAAAAAAATAATAATATAAAAATAAAATATTAATATAAAAAAGTATAATATTATAACTATAACTTTATATTTAAAGTTATATATAAATATATCAAATTTTTAAAATAATTAAATTATAATATAATTAAGTAAATATTATAGATATTAACTATATATATATAAAATAAAAAAATAATAATTATTAAATATTTTTAATATATTAAATTAATAAAATTTTTAAATAATAATTTATATATAATTTTAGATGCTAAAATATTATAAATAAAGTATTTATTATTTTATAAGGGCGGTATAAATATTTTTTTAATAACAAAATCTCTTAAGCTGTTTTTATTTCGAGAAAGTTTCGATTATAACGGGAGGGGGTTAAGTCGCAGTTTCTTGATGGTTGAGCTTACCGCTGTTTTTCGGCGGGTAAGGCAATTTCTTTTCAACTCTTCCTTTTATCGCCTCC